CGCTCATGGGGGGAGGGGGGGCTGCCATGATGCAGTTTACTTGGCATCTGAAAAAACATTTCCTCAAAGGTATTTTAATCTGAAAAGAGCTTCACTGAATTAATGAACTAATGTTGAGAGCTCAGCAGACAGTTAAGTTTCACTTTCACTTTCACCCGAGAGCCTGCAGGAGTCATGTGTGGGGAGGGGGGAGGGTGCTCTGCCATGAGGAAGTTCAGCTTAAAGACACACCCCAGGGGTGTTTCTGGTCCCAAAAGGTGTTTCTGGTCCCAAAAGGTGTTTCTGGTCCCCACCTGTCGTTTTGCTCCTCAGCATGGCTTCATGAAAACACTGCAGGATTTCTCAAACATGCATGAATGAGTCAGAGCAAGGCTTTGGACATGTTTTTTATGAGAGTATAACATTATAACATGATATAAAACTCAAAAAAGTTGGTTTTACATGATATTCAATCGTGTCCACTGTTTTTATTCTTATCAGGAGTGTCATCTCCTACACTTTGATTCTTCTGCTGCTGGAGAAGTTTGAGGTTTTTGACTCAGCTGCTGATGTTTAAACTGCGTGTACTGACACCCTGAATGATTTTCATCTCTTTAAGGAATCTCTTGGACTCAGCAGCACCACATCCACTCCAGAAACAGAGAGGAGGTACAGTTTGTTTCTAAATGTCAGACCATATATATGACTGCGTGTTTCCTCACACAGATTAGTTGTGATTTATTCAAGTGAATTCATGTTGTCCAACAGACTGTGGACATGTGTGTTTCCTCTGCTTACTGATGCGCTCCACCATCACTAACCTTCACACTTCCTTCCTTCCCTCCATTCTTTCTTTTAAAGACTTTATAAATTAGTCATTCTGTGTCACAAGAAACTGATGAAAAGATTTAGGTGATAAGTAATAAGAAATCAGCAAGTTGTCTTTATCTTTAACAAGCCCGCTGGGGAAAAGTGATTATGGACATGATCGCCCCCTGGTGGACTACAGATAAAGTTACATGTATTACCATATTAACAGAAACAATCAGGGTTCTTTTTTAGAGATCCAAATCTTTATAAAAAGGAATATTAAACACGTTTTATGAACCTCCAGGCCCGTATAGACAGAGAAAATGCTCTTAAATGCCTGTCACACCACACAGCTGAGCTGCCTGCAGGGCCTTCCCTTACAAAACTCAGCACACTCCTGGATATTTGCCTCAACAATGTGATTTGTAAGTGCTTGGACTTTACATGTGCAGGAAGGACCTGCAGAAGGCAGGATCACATCACTCCTGCTTCAGCTGGCCTTCACTGGCTGCCTGCTTGCTTTCATACTGATTTTAATAATGATGGTAATAATGATAAT